CAAGAGAATAGGCCACAAAGGTCCTACGATTGTTCCAAAAACTTTAAAAACCCACATACACCCTTCCAACGTTCTCCAAAACTGTCGTACTCTTCTGCCACTCTCTTCCAGGTGTCACAGCCCCTTTCTGTTGGGTTACAGGCCAACGCAACTCACCCCAGCTCCGACCAGCGTCGTCCCGGCAGCAACCCTTAGTTGTCCCGTGGGAAACCCCCCCAAGACCTACCCAGATCTCTCTACCAGACCTCACGCTCCTGCGTCGCAGGTTACAGGGCAACACCCCAGCTCCGGTCAGCGTCGTTCTGGCATCGAACAATCGCAGGTCTCGAGTACAACAGTGATGACGCCACGTAAGACGAGTCAGTGGGGATCTCTAAGTCCTAAAACCATCCTAGGACCACGAAGCACCCAAATCTCTTTAGGACCTTCAAAAAATGTTTAAAAAAAATATAAGAACGGGGGGGGCAAAACTAAAACTGTCCGCTATGCTAAATTCCTCCTTCCAATAGATAGAGCGTCGGTCCAAGCTTTCAGCCCTCGTACCAGAACTCACTTGATCTCATACCCCCTTCTGCTAGGGTAACAGGGCACCACAACCCTCCCCAGTACTGATCAACCTAGCTCTGACGGACAGGAAATGCCTTCCTCCCTCGACAATTCCCGTAGCGGCAAGCCCCTAAGAAGGTTACAGGGTCAATACCCCAGCACCGGCTATGTCAGACGATCTGGTTATGCCTTCCACCCTCGGCATAACTTCCCAGGCCTCCAGCTCCCCCCGGGTTACAGAGCAGCGGCTCCAGCACCGGCCTGTGTCGTCTCAGCCTCGTCCTTCTGACCTACTTACTCAAACAAACAACCTTTTCTGTTGAAAATCCCCTTACTACCTTCCCTCCTTCAAGCCTAGCTTCCCCCCCCCCTTCGGCTCACTGTGTAGCCCTGGAATTCTCTCCTTCCGTCAAAAGATCCTAACACTGCTATAAGCCGCCACCCCCTTGCCTTCGCGGATGATCTGTTCTTGATTTTAGAGAATTCAGTGGCCTCGCTGGGGGCAATTAAAGCTGTCCTGCAGGAGTACTCGTTACTATCAGAGGCACAGGTAAATTGAAACAAGTCAGCATTTATTCTCCCTGAAGGTTTTGCATTGGTGGTCGAATGGGGTATGCACAGGGTTAATATGGGAGAGGGGGAGCCGTTCTTGGGAGTGCTGATAAGTTTGGAATTGATGTCCGGGGCCCAAGGGACGGGTACTTAACAGCACATCGCGACGAAATTGAAAGTGTGGGGCTCCACTTGGCACCTTTCGCTGTTTGGTAGAGCATTGGTCATAAACTCAACTCTCCTCTCTTTGCTGTGGTTTGTGTCACATGTGAGGGAGTTCTCTAGTCCAATGCTTGCAGAGATCAAGCGCCTGGTTGCAAGGTTTCTGTGGAAACCACGAGCTGGGGTGGAGGATGGGTTCTTGGTGAAAGTGGTCTGGGATCTGATTACCTATGCCAAAGAACAGGGAGGCTTGGGGTTGGTAGACCCACAACTCAAGAACCAGGCCTTTCTCAGGTCATGGGTGGCAAAAGTGGCAATGTCAGAACAGACGGAGGATTGGATTTTGTTGGGGGAACTGATACTAATGCAGGAGTGGCAGTCGTACATACAAGGGGATGTATGGGTCTGGCTTTTTATCAAGTCATTCATGAGGCGCAGACTGAAGTCAAAATTTTGGGAGGCAGTGCGCAGAGCCTGGGTGGCCCACCCTTCGGATACAAGAACCCCTCCGATTTCAAGGGAGGAGGTTCTGAGACAGTGCCTGTTTGAAAATCTGTCGATTACAGATAGGGAGGGAAACGAGTTTCTGGCTAACGCAGTAACTGGATCCTTCGGAAGGGCGTGGGTTCAGAGGGGAGTAAGCACAGTCCTTGACCTGTGGGATCCTCTGATGGGAGATTGGAGACCAAGGAGAGAACTGGAGGTAAAACTGCAAGGTCTGAGGAATGTCGAGCCCCACCTCTCAGCGCTGAGGCAAGCTATCCCACAGGATTGGAAGGAACTACTGGGTCCGGCGGGCCAGGACCCTCCCGACACTTGCTACGCACCAGTAATCCCATAAAACCCTCCCTCAGTATGGAGGCTACAAGAGGTAACAGAGAGCGGGTTCAGGAAGGTGGCAGCCTGGTCAGTATGGCCCACTGACGGCACCCTGACAGAGGGTCAGGCATTAACGATCCGAATCTGGGATAACCACCCACAGATACGTGTGATACAGAAGAGGGACGGGAGAGGGATTGTGCGTAGTATTCATTGGGTGGGACAGACGACACTTCGTCATACGTCAATTGACCCCGTCCCGTGGAGTTGGTCGGAATCACCAAGGCGCTTCCACAAGGCCTGAACTTAGCCAGCTTTTCAACTGGGGAATCATACCTGATTGCTAAGAAGCCAATGAGGTCTCCAGTCTTGGTGGCAATTGCCAGATGGAAAGATGTGTTGCCTTTAAACCTGCAGGAAGAGGTGGAAAACTTTAGGAAGTTGTGGAGGGTTCTGCTGGTTCTCCCGAATGTGAAACACGCAAGTATTGTATGGATGCTTTCGCTTCTGGTGACACCATCTGCAGTGTGGCTCAGAGCTCGTGGGGTGGAAGTGAATCTGGGCTGCACTCGTTGCAGATGGCCATTCGAATCTACCCGACACTTATGGTGGGAGTGCTTGGCATCCAGACATATTTTGCGGTGGTGGGCCACACATTGGCAGCTGATGGGGGGGGGAAGAGATAGATTGGGATGAGAAGTGGGTTCTGCTGGGTTTTACCAAGGAAAGTTGTACTGGGCTCAGGGGATGGCCATATGTAGCACAGGTGGGCAGGGCTGTAAGCTGTGCGGTCATTTGGGCGGACCGCAACCGCTCCAGGTTCGAAATGCGCCCCTTCTCCGATAAGGAATTAAAGGCAGCAATCAAGAAAGGCTTGAGACAAGCAATTGTGGTGGACTGGCGGAGGAAGGCAAGGGAGGGGAAAGCCTGTCTACTATTACTATGGTGGTTTTTGAAGACCTGGGCCATTCGGAATCAGCTGGTGCGCTATCATCGCTCCTGAGGGTTAGTCTTCTCCAACTGGTTGCTAGAAGGAGGTTAGTAGGGGTAGTAGGGTTGGGATAGCGAACCAGGGCATCTCGGTTCGAGGCTCAGACCACAGGAGGTCACCTTGGGGAGGAGGGTGGTACAGTGCCACCGCAACTGGGAACTCTGTTCCAATCGGTCAGGCTTAGACCGGTGTCAGGCCGTTTTAGGCCTGTGAAGGTGGGGGAGGTAGGTAGCTAGTTAGCTGAGGCAGGTAGTAGGGTTGTTAGGAGAGTCGGTAGAAGAGACTGTCGAGAATGCTAAGGAATAAGAAGGAGGGTATATGCTGTAAAGGTCTGTCTATCTACATCTCGTAGGGAGGTCTAGTTACCTATTAGAAGGAAGCGAAGGATGTTGGATATAACCGCAAAGTGACAAGTTTTGGAGGAGTCGAAGGTTACTTGATAAGCTAAACCGGCTGTTGCTGCCGGGATAACCCCCGGTCGAATTGTGAGGTCCCCGGCCTCCCTCAAATTGATTTTTTTTTTTTGTCTTTTTCCCCAAATTGATTTGAAATATAAAAAAAAAAAGAAAAAAAAAAAAGAAGACTGTGGCCCATATGCCACGGGCAGCTTCGTGTGACCTGCAGACGCAAATATCACAGAAGCGATACCAATCGTCGCAAATTTTTGTGATATTTGCGTCCAGTGCGAGTATGCCAAGTGGAGCGATGCCCCTTGTTCTCCGGGAAGAGAGTTGCAAATTCCTCCCCCTTGTTCTCCGGGACGAGGCAGGCGCTGCCACGAACGCCCATAAAGAGCAGGCAGATGCCGGCAGGAAGTCATCATGTCCCTTGTGGCCGGCCATCGGTGTAATCGGTATGCCTCGTTGCACTACTCTCGTAATGCCTCTCGAGCATGCCTCGCTGCACTACTCTCGAAATGTGCAAAACGAGAGTGAATCTTCCCCTAGAATATGGAAAGATACACCGCCATAATTGTTTTCTTTTGTGCATGTCGACAGTAGTGCAGCGAGGGCATTATTTTTGTCTTTTGTGCATGTCGAGAGTGCATACCTTCAAAATGTGCGGTGAGTCCGAATGGATCTGCTGGCAATTCCAGGCAATTGGCGGGTAGCGGAGCGAGGTCATTTGTCGCTACTGCGCTGCTGCCGCGCTGCTAGGCAGCAGCACTCTGGGGCGTGTTCTCAGAAAGCACGTGGGGCGTCGCTCCGCTCCTCCACGTGCACAGAAGACGAACAATATGCCGGTTATGCGCCTCGCTCCACTACTCTTCAAATGCACAAAAGACAAAAGTCATGGTGGTGTATCTTTCCATGTCCTAGCAGAAGATTCACTCTCGTTTTGCACCTTTCGAGAGTAGTGGAGCGGGGCCCTATCTTCCCATATTCTAGGGAAAGATTCATTCTCATTTTGCACATTTTGTAAGTAGTGGAGCGATGCCCTTGTTCTCTGGGACGAGAGTTGCACATTCCTTCCCCGTGAGGAAGGCGCTGCCACCAACGCTCATAAACAGGAGGCAGATGCCGGCCGGAAGTCAGCATGTCCCTTGTCGCGGGCCATCGGTGTAATCGGTAAGTTAGCTGTCGCCGCTCGAGCATTGTACCTGGTGCATCTCTTCCGTCTCGCTCTCCTGACATCTCGTTGCCACTTGGCATTGTGCGCACCGAAGCACTGGAATTGTGAGCGCGCTGGTACATTATCTCGGCTGCGGATGTATGAAATGGCCGCCATAGCACGTTGGTAAGAAGTGCTGGCTTCCTGTGCACGGCGGCCAGGCCAATGCGGCCATCACCACGGAGACCTGTTTCTTCCCTACCACTCCTGCGACGCTGTGAACAAGGTGAGAGGCCGGAGCGCAGGCAGTGAGAGTTCTTTATTTTTGAGATTTGCAGGGGTAGTGGCCGTTGCACCGCCGGACCGGGTAGGTTTGTACGCGATTTTGGTTGTTGGTTTGATCGAGGAGAGCAACTGTGGCTATGGCTGAACCTTGCGCTAACGGAGCGAAGGCTACGGACTCCAAATACGACCACCATGGCTTGGCCTTCGCTACGTGCGCGCTCCATTTTCAGGACGAGAACGATCCGTACGGTGCGAAGAACGCTCCCATCTATATGACTGCCACTTTCAAGCTTCCCTCCGCCACCAAGGTCGGTTCGTTTCTCTACTCGCGCTTTGGCAACCCGACGAGATCGACGCTGGAGAAGCACATTGCTCGGCTTCACGATGCGGATCGGGCGTTCTGCTTCTCGACGGGAATGGCGGCCCTGACCACGGTGATGCAGATGGTGGAGGTCGGCGACGAGATCGTGGCGGATGACGACCTCTGTGGGGGGACCGACAGGCTGCTCACCAGCCTTGTCACCCGGTGGGGCGTGGCGATGAAGCGCGCCAACACCAGCCATCTCGACGAGGTCCGAGCGGCCGTGACGCGCAGGACGAAGCTGGTGTTCCTCGAGATCGCGACCAACCCGCTGCTGCAGATCACCGACGTCGCTGCCATCTCGGAGATCGCGCACAGGAGCGGCGCGCTGGTTGTGGTGGACAACAGCTTCATGTCGTCGGCACTGTCGAGGCCGTTGGATCACGGCGCGGACATCGTGATGGAGTCTCTGACTAAGTTCATGTCCGGGCACAGCGACGCGATGGGCGGTTTCCTGGCGGTCAGGGGTGAGCAGCTTGCCAAGGACATCCACTTCCTCCTGGCCTCAGAAGGCGCGTGTCTGAGCCCGTTCGACAGCTTCCTGATCTTGAGGGGCATGCAGACATTGTCCTTGCGAGTAGAGAAGGCCCAGGAGAACGCGCAGGCCATCGCGGAGTGGCTGGTGAAGCATCCGCTTGCGAAGAAGGTGTTCTATCTGGGACTGCCCGGCTTCCCCGACAGGGATCTGCATTTCAAGCAGTGCTCCGGGGCGGGATCGGTGCTGTGCTTTACCACGGGAGACGTGGAGCTGTCGAAGCTGGTGGCCGACGGCGCTGAGGTGTTCCAAAAGACGGTGAGCTTTGGCAGCGTGGGGTCGCTGATCACCTTGCCGTGCTTCATGTCGCACGCCGCGGTTCCCAAGGCCGTTCGAGAGGCCAGGGGCCTGCCTGACGATCTCGTCCGGCTGGCTGTCGGGATCGAGTTCGTCGGCGACCTCATCAACGATCTGGATCGCTCGTTCAAACTGGCCATGGCCAAGCTTGGCGGAAAGGAGGCTCCCAAGTATGAGCCCACTGCGCCGACGCCATACGTATACAAGCCCCGCTTCCAGTAGCAGCACTTGAAACGGTGGGTAGCCTACCCTTCCCGGATTTGTTTTTCGGGCCTTTCCTCCCAATTTTACTTGGGTGCGGGATAGATAGTCTTACCGATCCCTGGGTGGAGTGGTGGTGACGGTGGTGTTGGTGTAATGTCCAGTTCCAGTTGGAGTGCGTTTTGTTATGACGCTGTGCGCGTATAGGGAAGCACCCAAAGAGTCCTAAATTTTTGTAGGGCTCCGGGAACTTCGGACAGGACTGTCTGCTCGAGATGATAGCCTCGCCACACTACTCCCGACTTGGGCATTTTCGGGAGGGCAGCATCGCCACACCAGCTCCCGAGTTCAAGCTGTCAGATTGAATTCGGGAGCTGTCAGAATGTGCCTCCCCAGAGCACTCCCGAACTCACCGCCTGCAAAGCTTTTTTTTCGAGAGACCTCCTTCGCTCCTCCGAGTTTCATCCCAGATTCGGGAGCGGAGCCTGAAGGGACAAACGACTTCTGCCAGACTGCTTCACACTGATCTTGTCCATATGTGGCAAATGACATTTTCAGAATTTGAGCGCGGCCGGGTCGAGAGTGTGTGGCGAAGGGTACTCCCGACCGGGTTTTCACTTCCGGGAGCACTCCCGAAAATTTTCCCAAGTCGGGTGTGGTGGGGCGAGGCCCAGAGAAGGAGGGTAGAGAGGTGGGCGTCGTCACGGCGAGCGTGTTTCTATTGACACGTCAGATTGCAGTTCCCTGCCGTTTTTTTTTTCTTTTTTTTTTTTTTTTTCTTTTTTCTGCCGTTTATTTTCACGTCAGGTGCTCGAGGTAACGACGTCCCTGGTCAAAAGGAGTAGTTGTGTTGCGTACACCGTCGGATCTTTGCAGATCGCTGTCCACCTCATTATTGTGGTCATGCGTGTAGGAATATGAAGCCAGGCAGGCGTCGACTCAGTCGAGGACACACTATAAGGTACTAGTTTGAACGCGCGATATCTACGAGAGGAGGTGGATTCGCTTTTCATGGGACAACTTCAGATCATCTGCGGATCGCTTTCTTGGTTATTGTATGTATTTTGCACGTGATTCATTTTCCACGGAACAGGTTCAGATCATGTGCGGATCATTTTCTTGGTCATTGTATTGTATGTATTTCGGTTTGCACGTGGTCGTTCACGAAGGCACGCAGCGATTCGCGAGCCTCCTTTGCAGGGTCGTACGCCCTATCCTTGTCATTTGGAGGTCTTGGTACTTCGTTTTTAGTGCGAGTTTTAACTTTTGAGCCTCCTCTATTTGAGCGGAATCATAGAAATGATTCGGAGACCGCACGTTGTGCTGGTAGGTGTCTAGGTTCAGAACAGCGTGTTGTCGGCCGTTGATCGTATTACGACGGCAGGGATGGGATGACGTTGTCTTATTGTACGGCTTCTTATGGGCTTACCTGTCCGATTTTTTTTTATTTTTTTTTTTCCGTACCGGCTTACCTGCCCGATTATGTCCGAGTCTTATACGAACGTGATTAGTAGGTTACACAGCTGAGATCAGCAGGTGCGCGCGCGTCTGTGCGCTTAGAGCTTGATCCCCACCGTGCGCGAGTGTGTGCGCGTCTGCACGCTAAGCGTGCTCCCTTGGTGGTGTGGGCGTCCCCGTCAATGCGAGGAGGAGCGCACTCTACTCTGCCCGATCCTCCCGCTCGTGTCCGCCCGTTCGTGTTCCGTACGCGAGTGTCCCCGGCGTATCCCACTCACGTGCGTCCCCTCCCTCGTGCGTCCGTCTCCTGTGTCCTGTGTCTCGTGCGCCTATAGTCGGTGCGTGTCCCGCTCGCGTGTGCCCGTGCGCCTGTCGTACGCGTCCTGCTCCCGTGCGTCTGTGTTCTCGCCAGCGAAGAAGACCCTGAACCTGAGCCCTGTTGAGCTTATAAAGTTTGGGGCCTCCGGCCTTGGCCCACTCAAGGCCTCAAGGTGTCGACGTGGCCTGCTGCAGTTGCAGCGCCCTGGTACCGACCCTGCGCCCGGGCCTGATTAGGCCCCCGAACAGTTTTTGTCGAGGGGGGCCTTTTTGTCGGGAACCGGGCCCTTCGCAGCGCCCCGGCACCGGACCTATTCCCGAGCCTGCCGCGGACCTGCCTTCGCCTTGGTGGTCCCCACTCATAAGTGGTACGAACCCTCCTTGTAGAGGTCACGCGGGCCCTCCCAAATTCTAGGCCCGGAGACCTATCCCCGAGCCCTTGGCCCGCACGTTCTCCTCTTAGTGTCGAGGCTCCCGTGTATGCGCGATCTCACCGCTTATTCACGCGGGATGCCCTCGAGAATCTGATCACTCGAAGCAACTTCGGACATCGTCACCGCTCAAAATGCCCGTAGCCTCACGATAAACTCCCGGTGCCTCCGTTCCCTCAACCATTTCGCCGGCCTTTAGTATCGTTTTTACCTTTCGCGGCCGTACTCTTTCGCCTAACCCCTCAGTAGTTGTTTGCTGCGGTAGCCTCTTTGTGTTCATCAGTAGCTTACGTCTTGGGCCTTCTTCACAAAATTACCGCTGTTCAACGCTCGGACCCGTTTGAACTGAATGTCGTAGGCTGGCCAACCGTTCCGTCAACTTGTCGTGGCATTTTACCCGTGGTCGGTGGGCTCCTGTCAGGTAGAAACCAACAATTAGAAACCTTGTAGCGCGCCCTTGTAAGACAAGTAAAGGGCGGCGTAGGGTTGGAGCCGCCCAACAACGGGCTGCGGTCGTTAGAGCGCGGTTGTAAGAAGGGAGAAAGTCGACCCCGGGGTTCTTGACCGGGGCGAACATCATGGCGGGGTTGGTTTTGACGTTAGCATAGCGGTCAGTTCGGTGTAGGTGTGGGGTGTTGCGCGGAGACATGGCGGGAGGGGGGTACGAAGAAGGAAGGATGAAGGTCTTGTTCGCCTGTCGTTGGGTAGATTTGACCGAGGGGAGGTTCGTTTGGAGGTTTTTGAGGGTGGCGATCCTGAATCGGTTATTAGTTTAGGTAGAAAGTAGGCAAGGTGGGAGTTACTAGGAAACGATGGTGCGCGGAGCTGCCGGGGAAGCGGGATATGGCGGGGAGGAGGTCCAACGGTTCACCCGATTCTTCGTGAAACTGGGCAGAGTGAGGTACTAGCTCGATGTCTCTGGCCATTGCGAGTCTGATGGAGGAGTTAGTTTGGGCGGAGGGAAAGTAGATTTGGAGGGATAAGCCATGGGGGATAGAGTAATCCTATCCGTGAATTGGCAGTAGGTTCATTCAGTTTTTCGTTTTCACTGTTGGAGAAAACAGCGTGGGGGTAGCAACTGAGGCAGAGACTTACCTGTTGGCCGGTGCGCCGCTCATCCTGTCGATCGAGGCCACGGCTCTTTGACTCACCGTGTGACTGGCAGGAAGTGATCGGGGTCCTCACGAATGGGCTGCCCGCTTTAGGTAGTCTTCATAACTAAGTAGCCCCTACCCACCTTCAGAGAACTGGAGTGGCGGGCGGCCGGAGGTTGAGCCATAGTAGTAGTGACCAGGCTCATTACGTGCCCCACCAGGTCTTGCTGGTTGTTGCGGGGGGGCCGCAGTTGCTCCAGACGTCACCACTTTGGTTCGCTGATACGTCTAGCCGCTACTAAGCTACAGTCATCACTGCTACTCGTGTCGACCACGCTAGCTGGGTGGAATAGTTACTAGTCAAGGGTCATCGCTGCAAGTTCCTGATGCGCGGGGCGGGTTGTTGCTGGTTCCGACTTGGAGTGTTTCCTGCTGTTTCGTACTACAGACCTTTGTCGGGTTGTCCCGGGCACTACATTGCTGCGGCTGGTTGTGGTCTGCTACAGCCTGTGCGGCGGACACTGTAGTTGGTGTCGGCGTCTGTTGACTGTGTGTGGGCTATCGCTAAGTGCTGAGGTATTGCCATCACCTACGGATGACTGCGGTATATTGCTGCATGCCACAACCGGTTGGTTGCTGATTATTGCGGCCTGCAGTGCGGCGGCGTTTGGACTTAGAAGGGGGGGGCTAAGTCGGGGAAGGAAGGCGGATGCTGCTAATTGAGGGGTCGGCAGAGGGTGACCTGGGCAGGTTGACACCGGAAGTTTGACCAAGCTGTTGCAAGTGGCCGCCATTGCGGGGCCTTCAGGCGATCCAAGATATCAAGGCCCTCTCCCGCGAGTCTAAATGCACCCTCCTTGGATCTGAGAGTCCAAGACCCCCTCTTTCCGCTCTTCTTACTCTAAGTCTAGTCCCTTGGTTCTGAGACGAAGGTGGCAGGCGGGATTGCAATCCGTAGGACCGCAGCAAGGCTCTGTGGGGAGTCATCCAACCGATTGCGAGAGCTCTGTCGGAACTTAGGAGGTGTTCTGGAGGCAGGGAATTGAAAGGTAACCATTGACTTTCCCTCCATAAACCCAGGTATAACCCCTATCTGTACACCTTTTTATCTTTGGCTAAGTATACTGTATGCGCCCTTACTTTAACTTTGGTTTGACCTTCAAGATGCAAGTCAGACTAAGTAAATGAATGCGTATGCAATGGCAGTTTCAGTTTCTTGATTGTTTGAAAGCAGATTGTGACAAGGGATTGCATCAGGGGGAAGGGTGGTTTTAAGATGGTTTTGCTTGAGATTGAGAGGGTCTTATAGAGTCAGGCATGGTTCCATAAGATTGGATGGCCTAACTGCTATGTTTGTTCTGTTTTCTAAAAAATCCAAGCTTTGTTTCTAAGATGAATGGCTTGGCCGTTGTGTTTATTTAATTTCGCCAGGCTTTGTTTCTAAGATGAATGGCCTGACTATTTCTTTTGTGGGGTTTTGATTGTGCAAATTTGAGGACCAGACTTTATTTCTAAGATGAATGGTCTGGTCGCTGTTTATATTTGGGTGGTTTCTGAACAGTTTTTCGGTTTAACTCAGAGTACTCTGCCTTTTTTTGGTGCTGAGAAAAGAAGGTTGAACTTCGTTTCTAAGATGAATGCCTCAACTCTTTTGTTTGTTTTATTCTGAGGGGGTAATTCTCTTCTGAGGACAAAGCATGTTCCATAAGATTCGATGGCTTTGGACTCATGCCGCACACAGATGGACCAGAGAGAAATGCACCTTGCAGAGGAGACATGTTCCATAAGATTGGATGGTCTGGCCCAATGCCTCCCACATGCTGGAACCCAAAAGGTTATAATTTGGCTATATTTTACTATTATTCTACTTAAGAACAGGCTTGTCAGACATGGTCCCATAAGATTGGGTGGTCAGACTATAGCTTATTACAAACTTGA